TGTTCTCACAAATCGCCCTTCATATTATTTAAATGATCGGGTTGTGGACATTAGTATCTTTTTCCCATCACAGGTACTCCTTCCTCTGGATAATCCCTCAGGGAACATAACGGGGACAGTACGCAGGAAGCAGCGAGCGCGGCTCTAACGGCGCCCACAGAAAGAAGGCCCTGCTGGGATTTAAACAACAATCTGAGTGGGCCGTTTAACAGAAAGGTCCATCTGAATTCACCTTTCAAACGAATATTCCAACAACAGCAAGTTAATATTTGTAGCCTGACTAAAGCTCGTGATGATGTGATGTGAATCCAAATAAAATGAAACTGTTGATAAATTCATAAACTAACATTGATCTTTGGTGAGAAAAGAGCACCATTTATTGCAAATCTCTGATTCGGATATTAAAACTCCAGTGTTATGCTGCACATGTACATTGGTCATACACACTTTTGAACAGTTGTCTGTGTGACAATGCTGAAAGCACCACAGGTTGATAGATAATAATAATAATAATAATAATAATGATAACAATAATAATAGTATATACACATAAATATTTCCATATCAAGAGTCTCAAGCCTGAATAATGTAGATGTTCAGGAACAAGGTGGCTTTTGCTCGGGTCGTTGTGTGTGGGAAAACAAAGTGGTTCACGGTCACATGCTAAAGACGACTCATCGACTCAGATGCACATTTTTAAAACATAGAAAGTTTCAGGGGGAAAAGGGCAACGCACCAGAATCATTATCTGCATGTATCAAAGTCTTTAGATGCGACAGAACAGACACAGTTTTCAACTATAATATAATCTTATATACAAATACTTATTTTTTTAAACCTTCATGGGTTAATTCACTTTGCACTCACACACATACACAACATACACACATGCACGCACACAAAAACCATACCTGCAGAGTATTTTCAAATTTTCTTCTTTTAAATAAAACACAAAAAATTACAAAAATACAAAAAAAAAAAAAATCTCAAGCAGCAGATATAAGAATGGCTGAAAGGGTAAACGGCTGAGTGGACACTGTGTGCAACCCATTTTTGGGGTCCACGCTTATATAAAAAGAACACAAACAAACAAAAAGAAAAAATACAGCATTCAAAAATCCTGTTAAGGAGCCACTGTGGGCTGAAAAGTCTCTGAAACGACGGCTAACCTGGGCTCTCCTGACACAATGATTGTCACAGACGTGGGTGCTGGGACGGCCTGCGGCGCTACGAGGCGTTGCTTTTCAGGTGCTGAGTCTGCAGCGGCTTCACGTGATACTCGTAGATTTTCAGTGCGGGGCCGAGCTTTATCGACAGCCCCGTCAGGACGTCGTTACGCGTCATCAAGAGCAGGGACTTACCATCAATTTCCTGTCAGATAAAGACAGAAGTTCTAGTTTTCCCTAGTTTGAGCATCATGTGGCAGCAATTTTGAGCAGGAAATAACAGTCAAACCTGATCCTGGAAAGCCATGGCTTGCTCCTCAAACCCTGTTGCTTTGAAATAATTGACAACATCAGCAACTGCCCAGTTGGAAGGGTCCGGCAGCTGACCGTTCTCCACTGGGCTGTAAGGTGAAATTAAATGTATTCATCTTAATATAAAATGTATGTTTAGTTTTAAGAGCAGCTTAAAATATCTAAAATAGTTTGTCAATCAACAAGATCCTACACACCTTTTGGTGTCAACTGATCCATTTGCCTTGTCTTCCATGTCGGCTGTAGCTTAAAAAAATAAAAATAACAAGAAAATTACAAAAGCAAAAAGAAACTATTCAGTCAATTTGAAAATTACAAGTATTTTCTAAAATGCTTTTTATTTTCTAATTCTCTTTTGAATTAGAATAAACAGGCAAGTGCAATTTTTTTTTTTTTACTACTTTCAAGACGTTTTACTTTAAAAAGCAAATAAAAATGAGGCTTACATCAACATAAAACACATTCTTCAGAATTCAATATTTTAGTTTTTATACAACAACTTTCATTTAAGCATTTTAAATAGGGCTGTAATCCTGTTTACCCTAGATCAGGGGTGGGCAGGGCCGGTGTCCCTGCAGGCTTTAGATGTGTCCTCGAACCAACACAGCTGATTTAAATGGCTAAATTAGCTCCTCAACATGTCCTGAAGTTCTCCAGAGGCCTGGTAACGAACTAATCATGTGATTCAGGTGTGTTGACCCAAGGTGAGATCTAAAACCTGCAGGACACCGGCCCTCGAGGCCTGAAATTGCCCACCCCTGCCCTAGATTAACCATTTGGTCTTCAAATGCTTCAAATGCCTTGATACAGAGTGTAAAGACATTCAGTTTGCTATTAAAAAAATATGAAGAAACCTGCAAATATTTTGTTTAAAAACGTGTAAGAATATGAATTTGGTGTTTTTTTTCTTGCAAAAATGACACATTTTAATCGTGTGCAATCAAACTGTTCTCTGTCAGCTGGTTAACTTAACCAACTAAATGTCTGAGCTATTTTTAACTCTACTCCGTCAACCATTGTGATGGCAGCTATTTTGCAATTCTACCGTTACCAACGGGTTACACAAGCAACAGCCCAAACACCTCACAGAGGAACCTTACACGACTACCTGATTAAACACAAGCCTTGCTATTTTAATCACTGACTTAGGTGTAAGGAACCACTTACGATCTTTAACGTTACAGTAATTTTTCATCAGACGTCTTCTCTCGGGGAACTTAGTGTGCTGGCATTGTTTATCTTTCGCAGTCTGCCATTTACTGGATGTTTCTGCAGGAAAAACAGTTGTACAGTAAATGTGCTTAACAAAATCCATTTAATTTAAAAAACCCGAAACATAGCTAAAGAACAAAACAAATCCAATCGTTTCTGACTGACAACGGAGAGAGCTGTAGTGTGTGAAAATGACGACCAAAAACTCACGTTGTTAGCTGTATTAAAAAAAATAGAATTACATTAGAAACATAAAAAATAAATAAAGTTAAAAAAATTACCTTATCAGAGAGGAGAGTTAAGAAAACAACGTTATATTAAATGACGACAGATATTGAATCACTGCCACTTCGTATTCTGCGTTAACGCTAACGTTAAGCTACCAGGGGTAGTTAGCTAGGCTTGCTAATACAAAATTTAACAGTTACCTTGTTTTAGAGATTCGACATTTGACAGAAATGTCCCGCCCGACGTTTACACGTAGTTTCAATCTTAAAAAGTTTTCCAATAACTGCGATATTTTACAAATTATTAAACGACAGCGGTCGTTTGATAAAATCAAGATTTAATCAAGTAAAGCCAACTAGCCCCCTCTTCATCGCTTTCGCTTCCATCACCCACAGGACACCAAAGAATCATGGGTAATGTAGTTTTGCGTCCCCAACGCCTTGGTTTGCAGTTCAGTGAGATTAGACGCTTGCTGATGATCACCCAGGAGCAAACTCACAACCAAAGTTTTTAATAAAAAGAATTTATTATTGTGACATATTCTTTGTTACATAAAATCTGCTACAGCAAAGTATACTCCCCTTGCAAACACAAATATATATGAGTGGGAAAACAAAAAAAGAACAAAAAACGTGTCAGCCGTCTAAATGATGTGCAAAAATTCCACAAACTAAATAGAGACACATTTCAGATTATTGATCCCATACTGGCACATGTGACTAGCTACAGAGAAGTCATAAACGGATTTCCTGCAGTCAGGAGTGTGAGGTGGTTCAGGGAAAAAGTGCCATCATTTACATGAAATCTGACAAAGATTACACAGATTGGGAAATAAAGGATACGGAGATACAGATGTGGAGAGATATGGATTTCCTACACAGTTTCTGGGAAGATTTACACACACACACACACACACACACACACACACACACACACACACACACACACACACACACGCTGTTTGGGACTGTGCTTTTCAAAGTCCTGTTTGAATATTTGTTCTGGATTTTACCACTAAATGCTGTCCACACTTCAAAGTGAGGAGAAGTAAATTGTTGGATCTTTTTTGGTAAATCAGTTTTTAAAGGATTGTCTAAAGAAAGATTTTTTTAAATAAAGGAAATGAAAAAAAATAAGTTAAAATCAAAAGGCTATCATTTTAAATAGGCATTTGAGGTGTCAGTGTACATAAACGTAAGTCTTAACAGGGCAAATAAAAAGTTACACAGATAAAACTTTATTCACTGTTTTTAACACTTGCTAATAAAACATTTGGAGTCTTTTATATGAGAACTATAGACGATTAAACATTTCAGTGTTTATTCATTATCTCTAAATATAAATAAAACAGCATACGAAACAGTTCTGTCTTGGAAATGAAAACAAGGGTAAATAAAAAAAATGTCACATGCTGGGCTCAAACAGTAAAATAAAAGTTCACATGTAGCCAATATTTATGTATAAAATGCTACAAAATAGCATTCAGTCTGCAAATCTTTTCACATTTGGTTTCTATGATTGTTGAACTTGATTCAATTGCATTTTCCTCACACACAAATACTTGAGCATCTTGTCAAATTATGAC